GAGATTTGTTGCGGCCCTCCTCCGCTTGGCTTTTGTGAACCGACCAGATTTTTGCCTGAACTGTGCCATAATGCGCCTATTTTCATTAGAAAAACCGTATTCTCTGATTTTAACAGATATTTTAGTTTTTGAAAATTAGGGTACTGTCTCTATTTTATAGTTTCAGGCTCTAAAAATCCAAGAAACTGAAAAAATTTTGACAACAACGGGATTCTTGTTTAAACTGGTCCACAATGGATCTTTTTTTCATTAGGAAAACTCCGGTTTCTGCCGTTCGCAGATATTTTAGTTTTTGAAGATTACAGTACCCAGGCTGTTGTCTTTTGACAACGATCAGATTTTTGTTTGAACTGGGCTACAGCGATGGTGTTCGCCAAAAAAAACTTCAATTTCCTGGTTTTGCCTGGTATTTTAGTTCTCGAAACATAAGACTAAAATATTTCCTGCAGCCTAACCGAACGGCTATAACAAGCGGAAATATGTTATTTCGACCCAGTTTGGCTGTAACTTTGGTCGTAGCCAAGGGAGGAAGGGGAATTCTGACGTTGCAACCACTTCGTTCATTATACTGGTAGAGAGAGAGAGAGAGAGAGAGAGAGAGAGAGAGAAAGAGAGAGAGAAAACGAACATCTCCTTTGGGGCCCATTTAAGTCAGAAAAAGAGACAGAACACTCGTCTCTTTTTCTACTTATGCATATGTAAGCAGTGATGTAAAGAGGAAAGAAAAGGACACCAGGGGGAAGGGGGTGGAATATATAGACAACAATATATTTATCCCTAAATGTCCAAATTCTGTTTCTGTGCTTAAGAGAGAGAGAGAGAGAGAGAGAGAGAGAGAGAGAGAGAGAGAGAGAGAGAGAGAGAGAGAGAGTGAGAGCGCCACGGCCTGGTTTTGACAATAAAGGTGCAAGAAAGCGTCTAGAGATTGTTAACCGTAGTCATCTAGGAGGGGATTGAGGCTTTGCTTACGCAATTGGCAGGCAGTTAACGATTTGCTGGCACCCTCCCATTAAAATTTTTTTTTTTACCTTTGATTTTACCAACTGTTTTCCTGACTGCCAGTTTACAGACTTGGATTATAAACCTTGGCTTGCTTAGCTGATGCAATAAAAGAAGCTTTTCCCTCTCAAAATGGCTAGCCAGTTACCGGTTTCGAGGCATTACCCCGTCAAAAATGCTCGTTTTTCAGGTTTTATTTTCCCAATCTCTTTTCTGACCGCCAATTTGCTAGCTTTGCTTCTAAAACTAACATTAGCTTCCGTTTTGGCTGATTCCCACCCAAATGCCCAGTGCCCTTTTTCTGTCGATCGTACAACCCGATCCTATCCACGTTTTTTTCTTGGGGGCCCAAACTTTTGGGGCGGGCTGATCCGGGTGACAAAGTGCCCAGTGGGGGGCTGACCCCTCCCCTTCCTTGGCTGATCACCCGGCTGTCCCCCTATCTCTACTTCCGGTCGTACAAGCTGTCCTTAAAATATACCAACCTGCTAACTGGCTGTCAGATTATGATATTTGGCTCCCAGATTGAATTTTTATGCCATTTTGAACTTTTTTTTAAATCGAGTTTAACCGACCTTACCAGCCAGTTGAGCATTTGGCGAGGTGCCAATGGATTTTCTGCCTGGCAAACCCCTTTAATACGCCCTTGAAAGATACCTATTGACTAACTGGCTGTCATATTTGACTTAGAATTATCAGGTCACAGATTTATAGATTTTTAAACTTTTTAAGTCGGTTTAACCTAGCTTGCCAGTCAGCTCACCTTTGGCGATCCGCCAATATTTTTCTGCCTTCCAGGTTCCTTTAATTTGCATGAATGCCCTTATTCTGGTCTAAAGCCAAGTGACTTCCTTCATTTTTTTGTTTATTTATCCCCTCGCATTTCGGGTCATTCCTTCTGAAATTAATCCCTCTCCTTTTGGCATTCACTTGCAAGGCTAGCGCCCCCAATTTACGCAATTCGCTAAACAAAAAATGGCTGGGAATCGGTGACGTAGCTTGACGTCGATCTCTGGGTTATTTTAATCGAGAAATGAATTATATTATTGTAACTATTGAATTCTAGGTATACTACGCGTTACACCTATAAACATCACATTTTACGTTATTCCACTCGTTTTTAGGCGAATTTAGCTTGTCTAGAAATCGATCATTCCGTTTCGACTACGATAGACACGAACAGACCTCACATTTTTGCATATTTCTCGATGGAAAACGCGAGCTGGATTCCACACGTCTCGACAATCATTTTCCTGGGGTCCAATTAGGGACCGCCCACTTTTTCGATACCTTTGGATAAAGGGGGACCTCATTGGTCCCTGGTGACATGCCGGCCAGCGGTTTTTGCATTTTTTTGTGTCGAAGAAAGTTTGAGGCCAGTGGAACAACCAGCGCAATGTCTAAGCTGAACGTTAATATTGGATGTGGACGTATTTTTTACGAAAAATTTCATTGCGGTACTGATGGTTTGTTGTACTGTTGGTTTTGGCTTGCAGCTTATCATGTCGTAAATAATAGCAGTTCCGTACTGATGCTCAACAAACCTTTTGAACATTGAAACTGCCAAGTAAAGTTCCTTTTGGAAAGGTTTTTACCATATTTTGTAGTCTGTACCCGTATTTTAGTCGGGCTGGTCTGTAAGCTAGATGAAACGTATAGTCTGGTAAAAGTCTAGGCTGTTATTCTTAAAAACCTTTTGCATTTCTACGCTGCATAGCAGACGTGTATCTGAAAAGGTTTTTACTACATTTTGTAGTCTGTAGCCGTATTTTATTTTTTTAGCATAGACGCCAAGATGATCAAAATCGACGGTTCTTTCGCTTTTTGGTATGTAAACCCTTGCTATGCTTGAAAAAACCTTCCGAATATCTCGACTGCTTAATAGACTTTTGTCTAAACAAGTTTGGATTAGAGTTTGTAGATTGTGGCCGTATTTTAGTCCGGCAATCCTCCAGCTAGCTCCCCAGCAGGCTTGGCTGGCTTATTATGTCGTAGATGCTATTGACGAAAAATCTTTTGCAGATTGAAACTGCATGCCAAGCGTGAATGAAAACTTGTGTTTAGTATATTTTGTAGTCTGTAGCCATATGTTAGTTTACGGATCAAAACTAAAATCATCAAAATTGATCGCTATTTCGCCGTTTCTTTTTTCCTGCGTTTCTCTGCCCTTCAGAATGACCATCCGACATATCCTACAATCCGAAAAACACTAAATATTTTATATTTCGGTTTCTTTTCTTTTTTTGTTTTACAAGACCTTGGGGAGGGGCGAGTCGTGTTTTGTGTGCTCACCCGGGGGATGTTAATTTAGGACGAAAATGTTATTTGGAAGGGTAAGAGAAGCGGGGATGAATGGATGGAAGGAGAGGGGAAAAGCCTTAGAGTATAAAGAGACAACATTGGGGTCTGTAATGGGTCTGCTGTTCATTTTCGGCCACTCAATTCATCTTCCAATTGATTCTTTTTGCGAGGAGAGGGGCCCAGCTGATCATTCCTGCGGGGAGAGGGAGACAGACAGACAGTTGGGCCATAGCAATCACCCCTCTCATTTCCTATCGATAAAGATCACCGCTAAATGGGCAAAAACTAACATACCGCATTTTCAGCCAAATCCCGAATTTGTTGCCGAATTTTTGTAGTTTGGTGTCCAGCCAGTATTAATGTCTGGTTGAAAGGAAAATCCATCATATCTCGCTGGAAATGCTATGCCAAATACATATTTCCTATAGCGCGTAATTTGTCTTCTGGCCTCCATAGTATTGATTCGGAATGGCTACGGTAGCTATTGAGTTTACGCGCAACTGGCGACGAATGCGACCAAAAACTAAAATATCGTCTTTTCCACCTGATGCAAAAATTTTTCCCGAGACCGGCTAATTTGGATTCCAGCTAGTAAGATTAGATGGTTGAAAACGGATTTACATTCATTTCGCCGAATTTTCATATCGCCGAATTTTCATATCGCCGAATTTTCATATCGCCGAATTTTCATTTCGCCGAATTTTCATTTCGTCTAAAGTTTTTTGCACAAAGCTTCATTCGGCCGGTTTTTCGTAGCCCGTTATCTAGCGAACAATAAAATATAGCTCAGCTGGCCTCTTCTTCAGGAATAGGTCGACGCAAACATCAGTGCCGCTGTTTTCAACGAAGGTAAAGTTATCTTCTTGATGCTCCGTCAAAATCATGTGGCAGGCGGAACAAAATATTGTAAATTCCGAGGTCTCCAACATAGATTTTCATACGTAATTCGGCGATATGAAAATTCGGCGAAACGAAAATTCGGCGAAATGAAAATTCGGCGATATGAAAATTCGGCGATATGAAGATTCACCTTGAAAACGAGATCCGAAAAATCCGAATCCAAATAATCTCTTTGGAATTAGGCTACACAGTACATTGCCGTACAGCCTATGAACCAGTTGCAAGATCGCCATACAAACGCACCAAAAACACAATTTCCCCTTCGCCTAATACAATTTGGCAAGTATTCGGGTGACATGGCAATATTTGCGTCGAGTTTTTGCTCTTCCGCGATAATTTGATCTGTTACAAATACTGTAGCGTACATTGTCACATGACCTATTTGGCGGCCAATACACTCAATTTTCTCTATAGATAATCTTATTTCTAACCGATAAAGCGAACAATGGTTTCATTCGAACAAGTGTTCATATTGCCCTCTCTCTCAAATGAACATCTGGCTCCTAATGACGGGTTACTAGATTATGGGTCTTCCTGCACTTTTTACCCTTGTGGTCCAACCGACTCTCTGCACCAACTAAAATACTTCCCTATTCGAGATTTGTGTTGTTTTATGTATTTAGAGGCTTTATTTAGTTTCCGACAGTGCCTTTTGAAAAACTAAAATACTCCAGTATTAACAGTTTTGCTTTTCTTGTGCGTTTTCCATTCGCCTCACGTGACAGTCTGATCGATATGTTGGTTTATTTCCAATTTTCTCTTATAAACAAGCATTAATAGACAATTTTTACATTCCAGCGATGAACAACACGACAATACCGCCAGAAATTGAAGCCGAGCCCTCCTATTATACATTATCTATATGGGAATTGGTACGTTTTTAACGTTTTTATCCAAATCAAACTTTTTTAGATTCTTTTCTGCCTTCTCTATTCGGCGATCGCCATTCTGGCCGTTTTCGGCAATCTACTCGTCATATTTGTTACTATCAAAAAGTATGGATTTTTCATAATTCGGATTTTTTATTTATTCACTTTTATTAATTATTTATTTTTTAGGTTACGTACCCGTTCCGTGACCACGTATTTCATCATCAACCTCGCTTTTGCCGATTTGCTGACGGGGATATTTGCCATTCCCTTCAAATTTCAGGCGGCACTTTTTCAGGTTTTGAAAACTTTCACTACTTTTTATTTTTGTTCAGGAATGGTTTCTGCCGAGTGCCCTGTGTAAAATTGTACCCTACACAGAGTCTGTTACGCTGTCTGGTGAGTAAGGCAGGGAATTATTTAGGGCTTTCTTTACGGAAAATGGTTGATTTTAAATGTATGCAAATTGTCCTTAAAACCAAATTTTTCGGCTAAACTGCTATCGAACGAAGCGGGAAATCTATTAAAAATTTAAATCTTTAGAAAAATGGGGATTTCAGTTTTATCGTCAAAGTAGCGTATTTTTGGAAAATTCCGATATTTTGGTTTTTCTATTTGCCCGCTGGTTCAAAAAACCAAAATTTTCACTTATCTGTTATGCAATCAACCTGTTAATCATAGCAAAAACTATATTTTTACAAAACTGCATAATTTTAGCCTTACAACGCGGAAAATTACTCTTTTCTTTGCAAAATCCGATATTTTGGGCTTTCTATCTACCTCATGTCCCAAAAAAACCAAATTTTCCCCTGATCTGCCATCTAATAACGCTAAAAACCTTACAAATATTTCATTCTTACAAAACTGAGTGATTTTAGTTTCCGTGTTCACTCTGACAGCCTCTGCAATCCATGAATTCGGCACGGTATTTTCACCGAAAAGAGGTCGTCTATCCGGCACATCGGCCAGGTAGGGTTTTTCTACTTTTAATTGGCTCCCATACTATGCGAAAAAAACCAATCATCCCGATAGAGTACCCCCATTATCCCCCATTTTTCGATATAACATCTCCCCCGATCTCATTCATTTCCAGCCAATCATCCGCTGTATCGCAGCGTAGAAGCAGGTTGTTCTTATTCTTTCTTTGGTCTCTTCATCTGACCACCTCTCTCATTCTATATGTCTACCATATTACCCGTAATCACCATAACTTTTTCTTTTTCTTACCGTATGCTGTCTCCCGTTCTTTAACGTACCCGTATCCCAGAGACCTCTCGACGACCCGAATCCCGAAAACTACAATATTTTCTTAAGAATTTTTCAAGCCTAAATTTGGTGGATTATGGTGGTCGGTATGGCAATTAGGTTAAATAATTGGTCTATTTTGGAGTTTTGAATTTAAAAATCTTCAAAATCAACTCTTAACCCGAAAACCCTTTTTTGTCAGTCGAGCGAAGCACGTCGAAATCGCGGCTAAAATGCTTTCTGAAAGATTTTTGAAGGCTAAATTTAATCGATTCTAGTATTATGTAACCAAATAGGAAAAATAATTGGTGTATTGGCGAATTTTTACTTCAGAAACCTTTGAAATTCGACTTTTAAATCATAGGACCCAATTTAACCCAAAATCTAGCCCTCTCATTCCGAACTAAAATATCTTCTAAAGAGCTATTGAAGGCAAAAGTTGATGGATTCTAATAAAGTCCATGCCACATCGATTTAATAATCTGTTTTTGCCCTCAGAAATCCTTTAAAAAATTTTCTACAAGTCCTAGGACCATTTTTCACCTAACTCCCTAACCTCTCTTTTTCTATCCTTTCCAAATCAATAACCCGTCAACCAGCACCCATCAATCCCACCTCTTCCCCTTTCTACAGTACCCCAGTTTCCCTAAATCACCACCCCTACAAACGGCGACATCAAGCAGTTCAGCCAAATGTTGATGCGAAGAGCGATGGGAATGGTTGGGGTTGAAGTGGAGACACCACAAGACAATCTACCTAATGAGAAGAAGAAACCGCTGAATGAACACAGAATACGGTACCCACCCCACACTGCTATTATGCCTTTTAGCGGTACTGCTCTCTTAGCGGGGAAGGGGCGTGGTATTTTGAAAAACCGTGGAATGACGTTATCTATTTTTGGTCATTTTTCATACATTTGCCACCGACAAAGCCTAGTTCGCGCGGCCAAAAATCACCCCCGGCCCCCGTTAACACAACAGTACCCTTTATCTATCTATCTACTGCTATCAATCTATCGTACGCAAATCCTTCCCCGGCAGTAGTACTGTACTGTACTGTAGATGGCACTGGGTGGAAAGAAATGGTTCAGGGGTGATTTGGGAAGGCCAAAAACTAACATCACGCAATTTGTCAAATTTGTCAGAACCGATCGTCTAGTTCGTTTCTCCGTACTCT